TACCTGATTAAGGAGTAATTAATGCGGAAATTAAAGTAATAAGGTCTCTCTAGGTGAGAGAGTTTAATGTTGGTAATCTGCTTTGTTAGCGAGATCAGCCGGTTATTAGTGTGTTCCGTAATGTTTCTGTTCTGTTCTTCAGGTGAGATTAATTGCTTGATCCCCTTTAATGAGGATTAATTAAGTATTTATAGTCTTGAGAAGCGTGCCACTCTCTAGGTTTAGGGTAAACCTAGGGCTGACCGGGCCTCTAGACAGGATTGGGCCTTGTTGGCCGGTTTTCCCATTTGGCATGGGTGGACACGTGGCGTGTCTCAATTGGTCCGTCGAGGACGTATCTGTGATTGACACGTGGCAGGCTCCTATTGGCCTACGTGAAGGACACGTGGCGGAACCTGGTTGGTCCACTTGTCAGACGGTGATTGGTGGATAAAAATCCCCTAATCAGTAATCATATATGGAGTTCTTTAATTTGATGATTACCAATTCTGCTACATATAGTTGGTGTTAATCCTTTGACAATTCTCCTTAATTTATGTGATCGGCATGCAAATTGTGTTAGACTAACAACTACATACTTCCTCCTATCTGTATTTTTATTGCCACATTTGAGTTCCTCTTTCTCCATTTATTACGAATTTATGATATTTATGTACACAAAAACAAATATCTGTACTTTCAAACAGTGGTGGGCTTAGAATGGATCATATTGTAAAGATAAATTTTTGAAAATTTATTACTATTGTATTATTAGCGCTTTTTTTTTTTTTTTTTTTTTTTTTTGTATCTTATACTACAGAGTCAATTTATAGAACAAGTTCAACTCCTAATTTCTTTCTCTCATAAAATATTCAGTTCATCATTTCAGCCCAGTTCTGTAAATATGAACCGATCCTAACTCTTAGCTTAGCTTAATATTGACTTTTCCAAATACTGCAATAAAGAAGGATTACGTATTAGGATTAGAAAGAGTATACGAGAATAGTTTCAATAGGAAAACTAGTAAATTTTGTTTAATCATCAATCAATAAAATAATTGAGGTTATTAATTATTATGATGAACTAAGGTTGGATACTCCGTATTATGGTATAAGATGCTTGTTTTATGTTCAATGTCTATTTATCGCGTCTAAATCTATTTATAGGTACAGCATACAAGCAACCATTCATATGCCGGCTTGATGATTAAATTAATAATTATAATTATAAAAATATACTTCTAATGTTTAATTAACTATTTTCTTTATCTCTAGCCGCTTTCTTTGCTGTACTTAACTTAATCTTTACTTAATTAATTTGTTTGATATCAGTTTTCCCTGTCAAATTACGACAAGTAATATTATAGTACTGAGTAATAATTACGGAGTATAATACTCTGTACTATTAATTACTCGTATTTCAACAAACAAAAGTAACTACATATCTAAAAGCTTGATTGGAGTATTGTTTTATATTTTAATTTTAGAAGTTGCTAATTAATCTTATCTTGTCCCAATATATATATATAAATTAATACATATTCTAAGAAGATTTAACATGTTAATATAGATTAGATACGATCGATAACCTAATATTTGTAAAGTAAAAAAATAAGGTATTTAATTTCCTTGATGACCTCGTTACCAAATTTCATAGTAGTAAAGTTTATCAACTTTAGAGGAAATGCATATACATTATGCCCAATAACTTTAGGAGATAATCTTGTTTAAATGGTATTAGTCAACAAAGTAATATTACGGTACGAGTAAATATTTTTTTGGGAAATTCTCTTTGGTGAACTCCAACTTTTTCATTTTTCTAAGTGGTAAATGTTCTTAAATTTTATTATCAATGGTAAACTTAAATTATTGATTACCATTGATAAGTGTTATTTTAATAAAAATTCTTAACTATAGTTAGTTTTTTATTTTTTTAATAATTAAATTATTTTCAAAATATTTTTCAGAAAAAAAAAAACCTAAACCCCTCCCCCACCCAACCTAGCCACCGGTAACCCTTCCTTGCCGGTGTCCATGCCTCTGCCGGAGATGCCCGACCTCCCCCATCGTCGTCGACGCCCAGCCACCCCCGCCCTACCTTCTCTCTTTCCCCCATCCCGATATCTCCCAAACCCAGATCCCGGCGCCCCAACCACCGACCCCCTACCCGATTTCAGCCACCATCTTCATTCCCTTCCCTGATTCCGACCACCAACTCCTTTCCCCCTACCCACTTTTTGCTCTAAATGGAGGATTTATGCTCGAATTTGCTCAATTTTTCTTGGTTGGTGTGGGTTTGAATTTCTTAGGTTTTTTTTGGTGTTTTGCTCGAAATTGGGGAATTGTAGCTCTGAATTTTTTCCGATTATGGGTGTTGATTTGATTGCTATTTTGTTGTTGAGTTTGATGGGACTTTAGGGTCGAATTTGCTCGGATAATCGGTGATTTGGTTGTTGAATTTGTGGGGGTTTGTTGGTCGAAATTCTGAGGGTTTTGGGTCGAATTTCTGGGTGATTTTTGGTCGAATTTCTGTCGGCGGTGGTGGGGGAATGGGAAAGAGAGATCGTGCGGGGCGAGCGGCGGTGGGGGAAAGGGGAAAGAGAGGAGGTGCGAGAGGTGAGGGAGGCCGGACATCACTGGTCGGAGGTGGGGAGGCCAGGCGTTCCGGCTGGGGGTTGGCCGCCGGTAGTGGTGCTGGTGGCTAGGTGAAGGGTTTGTTTGTTTTATTTATTTATTTATTTATTTTTTTTATAAAAAATATTTTTAAAGTATGTAAAAAAAAACCTAACTAACTATGGTTAAATATGTAGTTAAATTTAATCATTAATGTCATATTTGATTAAGTATAAAAATTTAGGTTTACCATTGATAATAAAAATTAAAATTGGTTACCACTTAAAAAATTAGAAAGTTGGAGTTCACCAAAGAGAATTTCCCTATTTTTTTTGTACAAGTAAGTTTGCACTTTGCAATTCTCATGAAAATAAAGTTGCACTTTAAACTCCTATCTCCCAAAACTCAAAATAAAAAGTTTGCATTTTGCACGTCATATCCATGGTACACCTAATTTGTCGACCATAAAACATTACAACCTACTATTATCATCTCATCTCGTCACCTCGATCATCTTCATTCTAATTGCATTGCTTTTTAGATTTATAAAATTAAATGAATGTATGCTATAATACTTTTTATTAGCATGAAAAAATGATGCTTATATCATTGTATTCGGGATTTGTTTGAATTTGTACTCTATATTTTCAATTCTATGTATCTTTTTTTTTATTATTTATTTTTTTATTTTTTACGTATATGAGTATGTCCCTAAGGATGTACATCAGTATATACATGGTTGCTTGTGTCGTCTCTTTAGTGAATTAATTATATGAGAGCACTTTTTTTTTAGTTTTTAAAAACACTTTATACTCCCTTCAACAAAGAAATATATACTTTATATGATATTTTTTATTAGTATAAACAAGAATTTATGCAACATTGTAATTTTAGTTAAACTAAACACAGTGGCTTGTCAATACATTTTACCCTCTCCAACGTATTCCGTGATATAAATTCAATTAAGTAAAAAATGTATTTTATTACCTCCGTTAAATATTAGTTGCAAGTTTGGGGTATTATTTGTGAGATATAAAATATTTCAAAGTTGTAACTAATATTTAACAGAAGTAGTATATGACTGTAATTTTAGTCTTAAAGAAAAATATAGTGAAAATTTAACAATTTAAAAATATATACAAGTACTAAAAAGGAGTATATATATCTGTCTATTGATAAGTGTTGTGCTCGTTTGCTCAATACAAGTTGAGCAAGGCTTGCTTTCTTTCCATAGCACAAACTTTGTAGATAGTAGAACAAAGTCACTTGGAAATATTCATTGAATGAGTGACCCCTTTTCTTTTTCACCTTTTTACTTGACATCTTTTTTTGGTTTGAGTCAATAACTTATTAATTTGTTTCAACTTTAACCTCACTTTTTTCACTCAAATGGCCCAACTAAATCCCTCTTTATATTGTTATTTAATGGTTTAATTTTGTTTTATTACGTCCTTTATTTGGACTTATATGTCAAGTAGGACGATAAAAAGTAACAAAAAATTAACAAAAAATTGTTTTTTACTATGTATTTAGGGCATGTACTCTTTTCAGATTATTTTATGTTTAATTCAGTTTCGATAAGTTCAGTTCACTTCAATTCTTAATTTTCTTCTTTCATAAAATATTCAATTAAGATCTGTTAAGTCAATCAGAACAGACCCTTAATATTGATGAGATATAAACTTGTCGAATGTAAGGCTATATTCTTCAATTTTCATTTATTTATAACCATCAAAATGACCAACATACCACTTATTTTCACGCATAAAAAACCACTATACCCTCATTTTCTAATAAATCGTTCTTCTAAAGTTTCCCATTAACAAGGAGGTTAGTATCCCAATAGTAATCACTAATTTTACACCAATCAATTATCAATGGAGTATATAATAATTTATTTATACAATTAACAATTTTGCTGACCTAACAAAAAATCCCAGATTATAACCTTTGCAAATATATTGTCACCATTTTCTTTACCTGATTTGCCACTTCAAAATCAGATAAATAATTAAATTAAACACATATTTTCAAAATTAATAAATAAATACACGTCAGGGTCATATAAAACAAAATAAAACTATATTATATACATAAAAAAATAGTACCTTTGACGTAACTTCGTCGAAAAAATAAAATCTCCCACAAATTGTAGGCTATATATATTACTCACTCCTCTCAATCTAAGGCACATGCTCTACCAACAAAACCAAGAATACAGCTTGGCTTTGTTTACTACTCTTTACATTTTCTCAATTTTATTCATTTTCCCAAAAGAAAAAGATAAAATATACTATCTTATTTTTACAAAAACATTAAGGCTAAGATCGCGGCATAAATTTTGGTTCAAGTAGAAAATCATCACTTAGATTTGAACAACGTTTCAGATTTTCCAGATTTCAGGTAAGAATTATTTTGAATCATATCTAATGTTTATGCAATAACATGTTTTTTCAGTACTTACGCAACATGCAGGTGTACCATATTTGATGTGTGGTCGTATGACTTTCAATTAATGAATTTATTCCCGTATAATATTTTTACCTTTTTTTTCGCGGCTTAGTTATTGTACATTGGTGCATTCTAATGTAAGGTCGAGATTTAGCCGTGCTTCTTTACCTTTACTTATTTAGATACCATATTAGCAGACAATATGAACGGATTATGAGTATTAATGTTTATCAAATGATAATCCCAACCAAAAAAAAAAAAAAAAAAAAAAAAAAAAAAAGCAAAGCAGCCAAGTCAAAATCAACTGCTACAAATTTATTTAAAGTAAACAGTAGGTGTAATTGTGTAAACTTTTCTAGATGCATCTATCTTAATTAATATTTATAAGTAGCTAATCAAATTAAGCAACTGGGTTTTAAGCAAGTGATTCATATTTTGTTTACCAGTTTTTGGTAGAGTTTTAATTATTATTAGGTACAGGTATAAATGTACTTTTCAATACTAGTTCATATTACATTTTTTGATTAGTTTGTTTAATTATTTTTGTATGGAATATTCTAGTGAGTATTGTTGATTGATTAAAAGAAATCCTTAATTTGCAGTCAGAATTGGTGATGGAGAAGGCCGGCGAGCACCCGGGATCGAACCCGAAACCAGAAGAAATTGAGATTCCAACTTTGTTTACTGTTATATCATCTAAGGAAATTCAAGGATTTGATACTATTGAAGGCATTGATAAGATTACAACAGATCAACAAAATATTGTCAGAGTAAGTTTTAATATTAATCTTGTACTAATAATATATACAAGTATATAAGATGTAATTGTATTAATTAATTTATTATATGTTCTGATAAAAAAACAGGAAAGTGAAGTAATAATTGGGCAAAATATGAATGAAGCAGAAAGAATTCATTCTGTTTCAATAAGTATGCCAGCAACACCAGTAGGAAGTCGTTCACAAACACCAAAGAAGGTTTATTTTAATGATCAACCTCAAGAAGTTTCATCCAAAGTTGTTCCACATGGTTCGCCTTCCACTGAACCAAATACTGAGGCCAAATTTTATTCGCAACCAATGCCAAGAGCGGCAACTTATGCGGAGGGTGCGAGGTCAAGTGCGAGTGCTTCTCAGTATTCCGGCCCCATGCCAAGGAATCCTCATGTCGAACGTCTTAAGGATGTGAGGTTTGATTCTTTTAAGACATGGTCAGGGAAACTCGAGAGGTCGTTATCGCAACTTAGAGGCAAACCGGTTGAGCCTCAGCAGGAACGTAAGCCTCGTGATCATGCAGACGGCGAGGCTATGCCTGTGGATCGGTATTTTGATGCCTTAGAAGGGCCCGAGTTGGATACTCTTCGGGTGAGTTTTTAGTTTTTTTTTAATGGCTCTGATACCATGTTAGAAGATGTAACGAGGTTATAAGTTTAACTTTTTTTTTTTTTGCAGCCATCAGAGGAGTTGATGCTCCCGGATGACAAGACGTGGCCATTTCTTCTTAGATTTCCTATTGCATCATTTGGTATATGTCTTGGTGTGAGTAGCCAAGCCATATTGTGGAAAACCATTGCGAATTCGTCTTCCACAAGTTTCCTCAAAGTTAGCCCTTTGGTAAACTTGATACTCTGGACAATCTCCATTGCATTGGTAGTAATTGTTGCCATTATCTATGGATTGAAGTTGATCTTCTACTTCGAGGCTGTTCGTCGTGAGTATTACCATCCAATCAGGGTGAATTTCTTCTTTGCTCCGTTCATATCGCTCCTTTTCCTAGCCCTTGGTTGCCCTGCATCGGTGACTAAAGACCTTCATCAATCACTATGGTATGTGCTAATGTTCCCATTTTTGTGCCTCGAGCTTAAGATCTACGGCCAGTGGATGTCCGGGGGGCAACGAAGGCTCTCCAAAGTGGCTAACCCTGTGAACCACTTATCTGTTGTTGGCAACTTTGTTGGTGCATTGTTGGGTGCATCTATGGGTCTTAAGGAAGGACCTATCTTCTTCTTCGCCGTTGGCATGGCTCACTACACCGTCTTGTTTGTGACTCTCTACCAACGTCTTCCTACTAATAAGACACTTCCTAAGGAGCTCCACCCTGTGTTTTTCCTCTTTGTTGCAGCACCTAGTGTTGCATCCATGGCTTGGGCTAAGATCCAAGGCTCTTTTGATTATGGATCGCGAATTGCTTACTTTATTGCCCTCTTCCTATACTTCTCATTGGTAAGTTTATCTATTAGTCCTGTCAACAAAATGTTAAGTTTAATTTAGGCTAATTTTGTTCTGTTTTTGGTGACTAGTAACTTAACATTTTAAGTCCTTTGTATGTTTGAACAGGCTGTTCGGATCAATTTCTTCCGAGGATTTACATTCTCATTGGCGTGGTGGGCTTACACATTTCCTATGACCGGAGCAGCTATTGCTACCTTAAAGTACTCTAATGAAGTAACAAATTGGGTAACACGGACCTTGGCCTTGATCCTAACCGCGATATCTACACTTGTAGTCACATCCTTACTTGTGTCTACTCTCCTCCACGCCTTTGTGTTCCGGAACCTGTTCCCTAATGACATTGCTATTGCCATCAGTGACAGGCCAGTTAAGGCATCGCGTAAGAGGTGGTTTCCACACTTGAGACATGGTAGCTCAGACACTAAAGACATTGAACAGTACCTAAAGTTTGTCAATGCTGAAGGGAATAATGACTTGGAAGCTTCTGTTGAACCTCCTAAAAGCAATGAAAAGGAAAATGTTGAAGTCTAGAAATATTCTTGCAATATGTTTCGGTCAGTCAAATGATGAAGAGCAAGGGACTAAACACGTTGTTAAATCGGATTAAGCTTCATCACTCAGCAACAGAGCCAATGAATTCTCTTAACACTGCCAAGTATTGAGACAGAGGCTTAATAATATGTGCTACTAATATATGAGTTGATCTTGTTAATTAAGTATATAAATAATTTTCGGTTTGTACATTGTGTACAAAGAGTTAGAGGATTATGAAGAGAGGTGAGGATAAGAGAAGGATCTTGAAGCTATTTTATTACTTAGAAGGAAGGTGTCTTTCCTCCAGGTTGTAGTGAAAAACTTTACATAATAGTATGAACAAAATCTTCAAACAAATGTAGAGCCTTTTTTTTTTTTTTTTTTTTTTTTTTGACAAAACAAATGTAGAGCCTAGCTTTAAGTCTTGTGTCAAATTTGTTCATGTTACTACTTTTGCGAAATTGCAAACCAATTCTGATCCTTTTATACCCATTAATATTTGTGTTTTGCAATCGCATCATGATGTAACATTTGATTTGTGCTACACACACATAGTACACTGATGTGTGGGTGCGTCGAATCATGCGCACGACTTGCTTGTTCGAGTGTTCAAGAACATATGCATATATCTAAGGGAAGGTACCATTACTTGTACTTTGTAATTGATTGGGCTGGTGCGCTTGGTCTGTAAATTCTACTACATACACCCAAGTTTATCAAAGAGAAGTTGCTAATGTACCACCATATCAGTTCATACTTAATTACTTATAGTTAGTGGTGGACAGCTCAGTGAGTTGGGCTTGAGTGCTTGATTATTGGGCTAGCCTAAGCAAAATACTGTAGTCCACTAGGCTAGTGACTGTGGGCCAAACCACCAGTCCAAAAGTTTATTTTTTTTAAAAATTAAAATTTTATTTTTAAGAACAATAAAAGTGCATCACTCGAGCTTAGCCCAATATTTTCATAGTGTAATTGATCACATTTTGGCCCGTGCATCAGCGCACAAGTCACCTCTTACACCATGGTGCGTGTCTCAATCGGGCATATGTGTATCTAGGTGCATAATAAAAAATGTGCGCTAGCACAACTGTAGATTGACAAAACAATATGCATGTTGTTGTATTATTGTATGATATAACTTGTGTCATAGTAATATTATCATCATTATCAAGATTAGAAGTATTGAATTGGTTAATAGTTGGCAGATGAGGGGAAATAATTTTCCTTGTATAACACATGATTTGATCATTTGAACCTTATCAAAAATGTATAATAATAAAAAAAAATGTACTATATGCTATGATTACGTGTACCTAAGCATACATTAACAATCTAATTACGTCTTGCTAGTCAATTTTAATTATCCTTATTATCTGTACCTAATCATTATACGTAAGCATGTTGCTTTATAAATTGGGGTAGAAGCCATGAATCCACTTTGAGTTGGGACTGTCCAATCCAAAAAAATCATCTTGTACATTTTTCAACGTTTTATTTTTTCTTTTTCTTTTTTTAAAAATAAATACAAATTTCAGAAATAATATGGGTTTTGAATAGGCCCTTTTGGACCAACTCAACACATTTACTATATATTATAGCACAACTGCACAAGGCTCAAGCCCAAGAGTATGAGCTATGTCTTTTGGACCAACCCAATACATTTACGTTTTATTTATTTTTGACGAAAAATATCCTTAGATATTATATTGATGAATCAACATGGACAATTTTACACAAGTTAGTGAGAAAATTTGTTGATATGTGACTTAGTATGGACTAGCATCATGAATTTCACGACACAAAAATATGATAAATCGATAAATTAAGCTACAATCTATTAAGTGTACATATGATGGCACAAATAAAATATCAGCACCGTCAATGTAACTAATTGAAAGTATATTGTTGAATGTACAAAATAACTTTGACACGTTTCAACATATACGCGACAACACATTGTGTTGTATTATGGGTCACATGTCTCTTATACAACAAGAATGATGAAATGTTCTAACGATTGGTGCTACTATTAGACTTTCACACGCTAATATACATCAATTCTTTTTTTTTTTGATGCAGTAATAGACATCAATCTTCCTACCCAGTAACTTCTTTGTTGTTCATTTTACGAAAGTATCACGTTGATATATATCACTTGAAGAATTGTCTTAATCAAAAAGCTTTATATGATAACAAACTTACACTTAATGAACCATCATTTCTCCTTTTCTTATTGAATATGACATAAGATTAAGATTTATTACTTTGATGTGTGAAACAAATTAATACATCTTCTATTCCTCATAATATGTCTACTCAATCCAATCAATTATGATTCTGCTTTAGATTCTACTTTAAATCTCAATTCTTATTCGTCAATTTTAAATTTCAATACAACATTATTTATTAATTTTATATAAATACAATAATCAGAGATTTAAAATTTTGGGTAATGTTATACATGCCCTTAGGGCTATGTTTAAGCTAGACATTATTATACTTCATAAAATGAAAATAATTTGTAAATTTATGATAAATTTACGTGTAAACCAATCTAATAAATGCTTCATTTTATCAAATATTATGAGTAGTACTTTTTACATATCATTTTCCTAAAATTTTATATACTAGTACTCTTTTTTTTTTCTTTTTCTTTTTTTTTTTTTTTGGAATGACATGGTTTGGATTTCAAAGGTATAATTATTAGCTAATGATTTTCTACATAACTAGTGATTTGACAACTTTTTCAACGTGCGAGTAATTAGAAATGGGATTTGCATGTTGCATTGCACCATCCGCACCAAGTGGTTTACGACTCATGTCTGTAACGTGAAGTACAACCCATCTTTAGGTTACTGCATGCTACAGCCCAATGTGGTAGGTTTATACTTTATTGCATGCTTTTTTAGCCATATAATTGTACTCAATAGTATTTTATATTGTCCTCTTTCTTTAATTTTTTGCCATGGGAATACACAATTTTGGAAATTAGTTTCAATACTTAATTGTAGAAAACTACAAAATGAATCAAACAAACAATGCAATGTATTCACAATCAATTGATGAATCACATTGGAAAAACTACGTGGCTGTATAGTTAGTTGAATCTCAATAGAAAACACAATTGATATTATGAAAGCGCTTGCTATATTTATTGATACAGTATTAAGTACTGAAAAGATGATATCAACATTTCGAAACAAATTTAGTCGACATATATGCACCAAAAAACTTTACGTGCATATCTCTCCAACCGTCCACCTAAATCCATGCTATTTCAAGAATTGTCCCTTCAGTTACTTTTGCATAGCATCAAATTTCATATCTTCCTTTACTAGATCTCATGTAGAATATGAATTGAAATAAGGTTCTTATTAAATCTTAATTTGACATGTGACATAATCTAGCTAGCTAGGTATCGTCATAATCAACACCGATATATTAGACCATACAACTGTACAAGTACAATAAAATGAGTGAAAACAAATGAAAATACGGTTTCTCTTTTGGAATTTGGCTTGAAATGATTTGTCAACTTTTATTTATATATTTATTTACTTGTATTTAATTTTTTGGAAGTGTGACTTTTATGGGCTTTATGTTGAACTGTACCAAATGTTTACGGCTCATATAAGGTTGAAATGCCAAATCAGTTTACTGGTCCAGCCCAATGACGAATTTGGTTAATTTGTTTTATTTGAGCTGATTTTTGTTGTAAAATTTTAGTGATTATATTGTCTTTTCATGAATGAATTTCGTAGCTTGGACGTAATTAACGTTTGGATTTGATATCTTGGCATGCAGTGAGGCACTCTTAATTTGAAAAATTAATGTCAAGATTAATCAAATAACAGCGAAAATTAACGTATTAGTTGTTTTTATCTCACCAGTCACCACAATAATGCAAAGAATTTAAGGGATTATAAACAAAAATTGCATTGGTCGATATAATATATTATAATGTCATGAAGTGTCATGGTAATTTTTTAAAGGCTATAATCATGTTATCAAATCACGATAAATAAGTTTTGATTATTAAAGTATATATTACTTCATTAATAACCTTTGTTCAGCTGATCAAAGACCATTTTTTTCGATTGAACAGACGAATGACTTAATACATTGTTGATGGCTATATAACTTGTTGATTGATCACATATGTGGTGACTTATATTTATCGAGGGGTGAATTGTGGTGTTTTTATATTTTTAAGTGCCGTGGTGACTTGTAACATACATTAACATGCTTAAATAACTAGCCTCCTTGATGCCATGAATTAAATTGGATGTGACTAGCCGTATTCAAGATCAAGTCAAGACCAACATATTCAATAATTCAAATTTAAAAACACTAATAGGTTAATAAGCTAGTGTTCTCAGCACCTGAATTTTACTTATTTTGTTAGTTTTGAATTTATCTTATATAAACTTATTGACAATTATCTTGTCACACTTGAACCCATCGATCAACCCTAATTTTATTTAATTTGAACTTTTTAACATTTATTATATATATTAACTTAGCTTATTATTTGAACCAATTAACTTTTATTGAATGTATTAGCTATGGAGGTGCAGACAACAGAGCCTTAATGAGAAAAATAACACTAACTAGCTAGCTAAATATCATAATCAAGTCCTATGTGGCCCTATTAAACTACTTTTTTTCTAAATAACCATAATATTTATGGTAATTGAATTTTGATTGCATGGAAATTCCCCCTTTAGCTGAGGCATATGCCTTTAACAGATAGATACTGAGGGCCTGTTCACATTTACTTAATTTCAATTCAGTTCAGTTCAGTTCAGCTCCAATCAGTTCAGTTCAGTTCAGCTCTTAATTTCCCTCTCTCATAAAATATTCATTTCAGCTTAGTTCAGTTCAGTTCAGTCGAGTTAAGCTCCAATCAGTTCAATTCAATTCAGTTCAGCTCAGTTCAATAAATGTGAACAGGCCCTGAATATAACAATCTTTTTTGTGAGTGTCATATTCAACACTTCAGCAGCCTTTTGTTTTCGAAGAGAACCTTTAAAGTTATGCAAATTAAACTATAATATATGCTTTAACTATATTACAAGTTATATATACGTATAGTATATGATTGTCTTTAACTGAAGAGCGACTCACTAGATTCGTAAAAAGATTACAAACAAAAATTAGTCAAATCAGATAGAAGCTAGACGAAGAGAAAAAACCAACATATTATATACAACAAGTATGTTGATATATCATTGGCAAATCATGCTGCTTTTATTTAATTATTACGTACGTGTTTCATTTTGGTCCTTTGCCAACTTCTCGAGTATTCTGTGTTCCAAGTATAATAATGAACGATCATGAATGTAGATAGATGTAAGGTGTTAACAAGTTTCTGTTCAGTTGATCAAATA